ATTTAAAAGAGGGAAGGAACTAATCTAAGTGCCGTTAAAATCTCTACAGTTTTATTACCCTTTGCTAACCTTATGCCCTTTCCAGCTCTTCTCCCTGTTTGTTTCATGGAATAGCAGTACTCGAGAGTAGCTGGAGCAGGAAGCTGGTGTGCTTTCCTTCCTGCAGCACCAGCACATCTGTCAGCATTGCAGAGGTACTCTGAGACCGTTCAAGAATGGGCCCTTATCGTACATAATCTTGATCCTAAGGCTAAATTACATGACAGCTGGTAGCCCTCGGTTCATATGAGTATCTCCAAGAGCAGGATTTAAGTGTTTGAACCACCTATGGAACCAAGCACCGGAGAAGGGATTTGTAAACTTTCCACGCTTGGTTCAAGATGACCGTGAAAAACACACAGTGTATTTTATCAGACTGGTCATTTCAGCTGGTCTCTCTCAGTTGCCACCGATGTGGCCACTCTGTCTCTTCTCCAGGGACGTTCACAGCTGGTTTGTCACACGTCCAGGGAACCTCCCCACTGTGGGGATGCCACGTGTGCAGAGAACGTTCCCCAGCTTCTCCCTCAGTGTAGGCAGATGTTCAAGCTGGCAGAAAAGCAGACCAAAGGCATGTTTTTCTAGCTATCGGAGCATGGCTATTATCTTCACTCATGTTCCTGCAGAGATGGAACACAGCCCCACCACAACCTTTGTCATTTCTCAGGGACCTGCTTGCTAGCATAGCTCTGGCAGCGCTTAAGCAAGATGTAGCTCAAGGCAGATTTTGGCTCAGGATCTATTTTTGGCCCTGCTCCTTTTCAAGAATATAATCTGCTAAATTAAATCTAATGTTTTCTCCTGAATAAACAAACCACTACATTTTTTCTTTTGCTCCAAACATACCTTTTAATTATAAGGGAAGAGGGATTGGCAACTCCAGCTAAAGATGGCCCCCCCGAGCAAACAAACAAGCAAGTAAATAAAAGAGCTCTTCAGAAGGTTATCTTTATAGAAAGGACTACTTTTTAACCGAATTTTGAGATCAAGTTTATGTATAAGGCATCAAAATAGCAGAGTAGAGAATAATGAATATTCTGAGACTAGCAATACCACACTCAGAAATAAAAATTTGTAACAAGAATGCAGCAGGGGAGAAACTTCAAAGGATCTAATGAAATCCACCACACAAGCCCCCAGTCTTTGAAATGCCACCAGATCAATAGCTGTGTGAGAACAACAGTGTTGTCTGAGAGCACTGTGATTTTTCCAGGTTGTTTTTTTTCTCCCCCCAAGAATACCAGATGTAAATACAGATGTTTTTTGCTTTAAATAACTCTTACAAGCCAATGAGATTTGTTTTCCATTTTTGAAATTCTGTAGAATGTGTTCCAGTATCTACTGTTTTCTTTAAAGTTTCCAGGGATTATTTGGTTGTAAGGAATTTAAACCTTTGATTCACAATAGCATTTTAGAGAAAATATCTCATTCATATTTGAGAAAACCTGAAAATGGGAGCTTTCAGCTACTAGAGTTAAATATTTTAAATTCTATTGTCAGGTAAAGACACAATATCTCCTTTTATCTCTCAAAATGTACGTGCTGATTTTAGGAGCAATGGGTCTGGGGGTTCAGCCATATTTTACTTGAATTTAAAACTAAGTTATTTACAAATCCTATTTGAAAATTACTTTATACTTTTTCAGCAGAGGAATCCATTAAAATAATTAAATAAGAAGAATGTTTCACAAAATAATGAAAATTACAGTTTTCAACGTGTGTTGGAGAGTCTATGATATAATTGCTCCAATATGTATCACAAAGTACTGAATGATTTTCAAAGGCAATAAAAACTCAATAGCTCTGCCATTATAAGGAATAATATTTTTCTTTTTTAGAGAATAATATTCCCGCCTTTTTCATCAGAACCTTCTTTGAAAAGTCATTTTAGCAGTTCAGGCTGAATTCTGAACACTACTGACTTGGCCAGGCTCAGTCCTTTTTGGAAAAATAAACCAAATCATTACTGACTTGAGTTGCCATCATTTTGCCAAATCACTCACTGGAAACAATTATGGCAGCGGGTTCCAGTTAAGTTGCTTTTTGTTAATTGTTCAAATTAAATTATTTGTGTTGCATGGGTAATACTTTTTGTTTTGTAAAATAGGTAAAAGCATCCAAATGGATAATTATGCACTCCTGATAATTGATGCAGCAGTAGAGGAGGAAAGGAGAAAATTATTTTGTGATGCTCTGAAATGTTAAGGCAGAATCGGTACAGTCAGTCACAAGATGAACCAAAACATAACACAAGCTACTTTAACAGTGTGAAACAATCAGTGCTTTAAATTGCTGGGCTTTGTGTGAAAGAGAAACAAGGAGAAAACAGCACCGAAGTTCTTTCTGAAACTTCCAGTAGAGATGACTCTCTAATTTTGCCTACCAGAGATCAGAAAGTATTTAGTGACTTAATTAACCACCCTTCCCATGAAAACTATCACATTGTAAAATTTCCATGGCCACCTATGAAGTGTTCCCCAGGGCTCCCAGGAGCGGTGGCAGCCGGGCTGGGAGCCCTGGGCCCCTGTCCAGCCCTGCCAGGACAGGCAGGGGCAGGCAGCAAGAGGCAGCATGGGGGAGCAGGCAGCAAAGAGGAGGGAGAGCCCTGCAGGGAGCAAGGGTGGCAGGGAGAAAGGACAGGGAAATGTAGCAAGTTCAAATGCATAAATAAATTACATGGGCAGATATAAGGTGGGGAGTGCAGGCACCACACTGCAGTTCATGTTGCTCCGGTTCCTTGTTTACTCTTTCATTTACCTTAAAGCTGAGAGTATGCAATTGCTTTTATTACAGCACTTAAAATAACTGGAAAAATAAGCAGCTTTGTGATTCACAATAATCCTTCTCTCCCTCAAATATTATCCCTATCACATTCCACGGTACTAGAGCTCCGACACTGCTACCGCTGGAACTCCATGTGTCAATACCTCCATCATTCATCCCCCCATCATTCCCGCTAACCCTCATGCCCTCCTTTTGAGAGGCCCCTCTGCCTCAGACCAAAGATTTGCTGGCCCTGCACCTCCTCAGAGGCACCTGGAGCAGCATCTGCTGTCTCCAGCCTGCCGTGGCCCAGGTCAGGTGGGGAAGGAGCCACCTGCCAACATATGATGAGGTCATCATATCATCAGGTCATCATCAGGTCAACAGGGGAGTAAAAAATTTCAAGGGGAACAGCAAAATTTAAAAATCCCAGAGAAGATGAAGGGGGGAAAAGTATGGAAGCCCTGAGGGCATCCACAGACCTATCCAGCTCTTTCAGCCGCGCTGGGCTCCCCCTGCCTGACCAGGGCCCAGGACCCTCATCAGCCCTCCCCAGGTTGTGAGCCACTACTCCCACAGCCCTCCAGCTCTCCATAGCCCTGCCGTGTGTGGCCATGGATCCCAGCAAGCCATGCCCATGTCCCAACCTGTCTCCATCCCCAGAGAGGTGCCCACTGCCCAGGGCTGCCTTGGTACCCTCAGCACCCTGTTCCTGGCTGGGGCAGTGGGATGGGACCAGCCTAGCAAGTGGGTGGACTGTAAGGTCACCCAGCAGGAGCACAGGAACCGACTGCTGTGTTCACTATTTTCCTCTGGGATGTGAGAAAACCTGCCATCCAAGGGGTACCATGGTGGCTGAGTCAAAGGAAGCCTTTGGCCCAACCCTCCAGGACAACCTGAAATTCAAGAGCCAAGTTCCTCTCTTGCCTCTTCCCCACCTCCTGTTGTTCCCAGTGTTTTCCTTTCTCTCTGAGCCCCTTCTCCCTTGGATCAAATCTGTCCTCTGGTGAAAACAAAGCTAAAATTCTGTCTCTTCTGGGTCTGTTTTTATTTCATGGAAGCAGAGTAGCACATTAGCTACAGCAGTGGAGCCTTAGATGTCTTTTACTCTTTTTCTCCTTACATAGCCTAAAGGAATGTTTGTTCACATCATTAACCACCCTAAAGGCTGCGCCAAAGGAGGTTTTAATGTTCTTTGTGGCTTGGAAGAAATTATATTATACTTTGTCCAAATGAAAATGCTACTAAATACTTCAGATTATCCATTCTAGCTGCCTTTTCTATATTGACAGGCTTTTTAATAACAGGTTGAAGGTGCATAAGGATGGTTGTCACCCTAGGAATAAGCAGGCTCTCCTCTCCACATTCTCAGTTCACAGTAAGTGCATTCAACTGTGGCAGGATCATATTTCCACCCTGGACGCTGTAGCCCACTTATCCCATCAAAGTTAAACCAGCAGAGTGTGCCTGTGAGATTCAGGAGGTACCATACTGAAGTCTGGTAGAGGGTGAAAGAGCGAGGATATCTGAGAGAGCACAAACACCTTCTCCAGTAAGAGTCTGGACACCTCAGAAGGGGTTGCTAAAAGGAACACAAGAACAACGCTGCTCCTTTCTATTTCTTCTTCCTTGTTTGATTTGTTCCCGTCTTTCATCAGCAGGATCTCTACTCCAAACATTTTTCTACTTAACAACACCCTTTCCTTGGGCATTTCTTCCTTAAAACCACAGTATTATTTCTTTGAGAACAAAAGCCCTTAAATTCTCTCGGCAGGATTAGGAAAGATGCAGCTTAAATTATCAAAAGTGATATTTCATTAGTATGGCTAATACCAGTTTCCCTATTCAACTATACTACAAGATAAGTTTCATTACACTTCTAAGTCCACACAGTTTTCACAGATTCAAGTATGTAAATTTGTATGCAATTTGGATCTGTTCTCGTATTACACTTTCAGCCATAGCTATGCTACAGTACTGCTGATCAACCTATATTTCATATATCATCTTTAGCATGGCCTTGCTACTCTATCCCATTAATTATTTCTTTTTAAAATTTCCTGTTTCCAAGGGAAGTGTGGAGCTTGTCTCTCTAGCCTTCCTTGCTGTTCTTTCCCTTCCACGTTCATGTGCTCTAAAAGTAAACTTCTGCAATATTTAAAGCAAAGGTCTCAGAGAACAGACCACAGCCTCCTCACCAGCTCTAATTAATCCCTGGAGCAGATCACAGACTTCACAATTTTGGGATGATAAAATTGAAGGCCACACCTCGTGTATACAAAGAAGCCTCGGTTAGAAATGAACGAGCCATGGAAAGGTCATGGATGTCTTTTATGACATCCAGTCATGGGCAGAATGTGGACAATTCTGTCAGCAGTTTTCCAGATGTACCTTTAGAACTAACTAAAATTCTTTCCCTCTTTGTACCTACAGATATTGTATCAGTTCCCTTTGACACCCAAGCTCTAAAGAGCTCCAATAACTCTACAGAAAACTGCAGAGTGTAGTAGAGATGTAGTTTTAATCAGTTCCTGCAGCCCAGCTTCCTCAGCACCTTGTTTGTATGTGGTTCATCCCATAGCTGATGCCTCAACACAGCTAAAGCTTCGTCTTAGGCACCTTCATTAGTTTCTAGCTCTACATGCTGTCAATCATGTTCCAATCTGCTTTTCCCTTCCCAGCAAATTGTGCTCCATTTCAAAGCTGATGCTTGTGGACAGAGAAGCCTTAAAAAAGATGAACCCAGAGCAGGATGTTCCCTGCAGAAATTAGAGGCAAAGGTTAAAGAAATGGTAAGCTATAGTCCACAACTTGTAAAGACATAGTGTATTCAGGTCTTAAAAAAATAGTTTTGATGAGACATGTAGTTCAAAGGTTGACCTGCTAGGCCACAGGGCTTCCACACATCAAGAGATAGAGCTGACCTTGAGCTGTACGTGCCATGAGAACCTCCCCACTACTTCTGACTTTCTGAAACTGGATAAATCGTCTCAGAAGTCTGTATCTGAAGAGGCATTGGGCTTGGCACAACGATTTAGTAACATTTCACAGACTTGACAGAATGTTCTGAGTTGGAAGGGACCCAAAAGGTTCATCGAGTCCAACTCTGAAGTGAATGGCCCATAAAGGGGGTCGAACCCACAACCTTGGTGTTATTAGCACCGTGCTCTAACTTTGCCCATGTAAGTTTTGTCTTCCATTTGTTTGTGCAATATTTCAATGGCTTTGACTTTGTGACTTTCAGGCATGTAAAGTGCTGCAGCCGATAGGAGCAATAACATTCTTTGTTATAAAGCCTTGACAATTTGGGTTTTGGGGTTTCTCAGACTTTTGCATCTCCTGATTTGTGGTCCAGTGACTGAAATTCGTGTCCAGTGCATTTTCTGACACTTTTTTTTGGAGGGGTGAAAACAAGGGGACAAACCCCTTGTGACAAACACTTTTGGTTTGTATCCAGCCTGGGCCTTTGAGAGCCCACGTACAACCACAATGTTCCCTTAGAAACAGAACTCCTATGTAATGATGTACTGAGTGCCCACCAGCATTCCTACTTCATAAAGCTTTGCAATCTGCCTCCTTGCTTGCAGGTCTCTTTACCATGAGTCTTGCCATATCACCAATAAAAAGTTCTCCCGCTTTTGTCCTGAAACCTATAAAGTGGGTTCTGGAGAGGGACTGTACAGTGACCTACAGCTTGAAGCTGTAGAAGGGTTTATGCGTGCTTTTTTCACTAGAAATACTCTTCTTAAGCAGGATCCCAGGCTGACCTGATACCACAGTACCCTGGCTGCCAGAGAGCTTGAGCTGATGGAGAGGAATCCAGTGCTGGGTGACTTCAGGAACCATTATTAATTTTGAAGGGTTTCCAGCCAAATTGTCTCCTACCTCACAGCTTCAAGGAGGTATCCTAAGCCTCCAGTTTTATTCTGGCCTCCCTCTGCCCTCCACACTTACAAAAGCTTGCTGAGCTAATACCGTTACTTTATATATGGTAGCAAGTCCCGTTTCATGTAATTAATAGATAATTAAAGAATTATTTCATTAGCATAGCTGCTACTAGTTGTCCAAGCAAAATGAGTTGCACAACCAAACTACTTTTTGGCTAATATAACCTCAAAAATTGCAAAGTTCCCCAGCCTTACCACATTAATTGGATATGCTGTTTGTACACATCCCTAGCAGTACCATAACACTGATAAAAAAGCCAGTGCAGACCCAGACTTCAGGCAAGTCTTGCTGCATTTAGCAGAATTCCTGCAAATTGTCTGCAAATTTTTCCCATTCATTATGGCAGATATTGTATTGAAGGGAATAAGCACAAACTGGGCAAGCACATTAAGATTCATCTCTTTGTGCTTAACTTGGCACCATAAGGCATCCTTTTATTTCAGGGTTTTGGGGTTTTTTTTAAGATGCTAACTAATACTCTCACACAAGCAGGTAACTGGGTAAATTTTTCATGGGCAATAGTAAATCAGGCTTTGCATTTATTGCTTTTTTTTTTTCTTTTGGTAAGTAGTTGGTTTAAAGCAAGTCACCTTTTTAGCACAGGTTGACATTTCACAAATATAGAAGTACAGAGACTCCCCTCTTAACATTCTACCTGAAAGAGAACAATTTAAAATCACTCAGCTGAAGACAATAGCAAGTCTAAGATTAAAGCTAAGCTAACAACTGGAAATAAATTAATCAGCATGGTCAGCATATTCTTCAACATTGCTTTGTAAGTAACACAGCTGTAGTAAACCTGGCCCTGGCATTTGCCAGTGTTCTTGTTGCTTTGTCCCATATTTTGTGCCAGTATTTGCTAGTAAAGTATTAACAGAATTCACCTTCCCAAGGCATGGAAACACTTTTTTTAGCTCCTGACATTATAGACGTATCTTGAATCAATAGAGCTGGCCACTTACTGCAAGAATCGGAAATACCATGGAAGGTAATTGCTTCACAGCAAATGACTTCACATAATTTGATAATCGCTAGGTCTCAGGCATTATTCCTGCTGTTAATCCATTGTGATTTATTGTCCATCTCTACTTCATTTATCATCACATTATTGTTCCAAGGTTTTTTGTGATCTTTGGTTTTCAGAGCCCAGCTGCACTTTTCATTGCTGGCAGTTCGAAAAAAAAAAAAAAACTAAACAGTTGAAATGCTGCGCGCAATGAATATGTTTCATTTGTACTGTATCTGGAGGGTGTCCTGGGCAGGCTGCAGTTATCTTTCCATTTTTCAGTACTTGTGGTAACTCAAAAGGAATACGTCAATAAAACTCCCCTTTCTGGAGAAATAATGATTAGATTTTTCTTCACTTCACTGTGCCTCTTCATTGTGTGGCTGACATTTATTGAGCTTGTGGTGTAATGTTTTGAAAATATACTGTTATTCAGTGCTTGTGTTTTCCATGCTTCTTGGTGTGATTCAACCACTTTTGGAAGCAGATAAAGACAATACTGTCTGACCTGCATTTCATTCTACTCTAACATTTTAATTTTGTTAATATTTCTCTAAGATAATCCCGCTTGAGGAAGGTTGGACCAGATGACCCACTGTGGTCCCTTACAGCCTTGCCCACTGTGTGATTCTGTGATTCCCAAGTGGGAGTTACCCTTTGGGGATGCAGGTGAAAGCCCTCAGGTCCTGCTGCAGGTAAGGAGAGGGAAGAATGGCTACAGAGCAGGTTACTACACAGTTTGTCCAAAGCTGCAGAGCTGTAAGTGGGCTCTATGCACACCCCAGGGAGCGAACAGGACAATCCTAAAATGACTCTTTTCCTGGAGCTTTCTCTCCAGAGTTCCTGCACAATACTTTCACAGCTGTCACCCCTGCATGTGAAATAAGACTTTGTGAAAACGAGGAGAGAGGGCTTCCCTGTGCCAAGGTGGCAATAATCAGCACTGGGACGTTGAATAAGGCTCTTTTTTCATCCCAAAGTCTTCAGTGCTTTTGTTGGATTGCTTTGTGGGCACTAAGGCAGAAGGTGCAGATGACAGCCCAGAGCTGAGTAACCTCTGATAAGGCTCCTCCTGTTTGCCTCTAAGTAAAACTGAAATATCTGGAGCTGAGCTGCATCACGGTTCAGAACAGAAGGAGGCAGCATTTCCAACAGGTTGGACTAAATGACCGTCAAAGCTGTAGGATGACATTCTTCAGCGTTACCAAAGCACAAAAGCAGAATTTCAGCCTATGAGTGACTTGGGTAGTGAAGATCATTCACCATGCCAGATGGTGACATGGTAGCTGGACTACTAGGTAGGTTACTTAGTCAATGGATTACCTCTAAGATTACAGGAGGAGAAGGCATCCTCTCTCTTGTGCCTGCAGAAAGGCAGGAGGTTGGCCAGACCGAGGCTTCATTTTCCTTTCTAGTGAATGCAGTTTTCCTTGTGCTATACATGGGCTCCTGGCCTATATTTAGGAATACACGGCCATAAAAGATGCCCAGAAAGATAGGTAAAACTCCAGGCATTTGTTTTGGCAGAAATTCTTCCTGCCTAAATAAGACCTTTGTTTCAGCCGACAGTTCAACAGAAGGCTTGCCTGCGCTTTACACGCTTGACATTTTTTGTGGCTAAAGCCAATTTTACGAGGTAGTAATACATCATCAGGAGAGTACTGAGTTTTTTTCCTTGACCTTCTGTAGTTCCTGTTCCCATTTTTAGAAGTCATTTCAAATGTTGCTGTTGGTTATGTTCCATTTATGTTCAACCTGTTCCTCATGTCACTGCTGTCATTCATGTTAGCTAACTACGGAACTGAGAATCAAGATTTTTATTTTCAATTAAAGTGCATTTTAAGTCTCCTTATCTGTCTGTTATTAGCTGGAATTTCAGCATTACCTGAAACATGTGGTTTGTTTTTCTTTCTTTAGTCATTGCATGGTATATACAAGTTGCAATCTACTGCTCAAAAAAGATTTTCCTACAGTTCAGCCAATGATAATTTATGACTTCTGTGAACTGTGAATAAAGCTCGTATTTCTTTCTGGTAAAACTCTTATGTAACAATCACCAACAGAGATGGAGTTGCATCCACAGCTTCAGATGTCCCTATGGCTTTTCTTTCTATCCCTTTTTGAAGCAAATGGTGTCACAGCCATGATATCGCCACTCTCTGGTAGGATGAGTAGAATTCCCTTCTCCTTCTGCCCTCATTCCTAAGCCAGAGATGCAAAGATGCTGGAGGAACTCTTTCTCTAGGCCTCCCTGCCAAGAACTGCTCTTGTCACCACTTCTTGTCTGCAGGCTTCACACAACTGCTCATTTTTCTGAGGGATGAGCATCTAGAGGTGACAGTTTCATTACTCAGAGAACTCCAACTGACAGGCAAGTCTGTCACTAAATTTAGCATTTTCTATCCTCTGCTACAGTCATTCTTCTT